AAATAACTACATAATTTTTTGTTTTATAAAAAATATCACTATATCACACAGGTGTTATGGTTGAATACCATGAAGATAAAGAAAATGTAAAATTGTAAATTGTATACCCTAAAGTTATATAACGTACATAATTATTGCAGTGTAATTTCTAAAGGGGTAAATTTTAGAGATGATTCAGGAGAATAAAATATTTGGCATAATACATAAATATATTCTTTAACTTTACTTCAACTTATATTTATGTTCTCCAATTTTGGGTGTGGACAAGTAGACACACGCGCCTTACGTGACATAATACAAGTAGGATGCCATGTAGAACACAAAATTGTCATGTTGGACGTCATGTAAGACAAATGTGTCTATTTGTTCAATTTTATACAAATTTAAGTGCCTACTTGTGAACACTCAAAGCTGTATAACATAGATATCAGTGTAAGCCAAGTTAAATATATATAACACGTTCATATATTATGCCAAAATATTTTATCCCACCTGGGTAATGATTAAAAGAAATCTCACTAATTAGAAGACCACCATTGACCCAATTAGATATCTTACGATCCCAACAATTTTGGTGATGATTTTTTTTTAATATTGTCATATTGATGCTAATTAATTACATATCAGATATACTAACACACAAACATCAAAAAAAAATTAAGAAAAATATACTAACATAAACATGCTAAACGAACACAAACAATTTCGTTTTTTTGAGTTTCATACCTGAACTATAAGATAAGTGAATTTCCTAGCTACCTTAACTATCTCTAAATGTTTATCGAAACACACCTAAACTATTTAGTTCACTTTTTCTATTTAAAATGTCACCATTATTTAGGTAGGAAATTTCATGTAGGAAAAGTGAACACATGATAGTTCAGATAGGAAACTCACACACCTGATCGTAATTTGCATTACCATTAGGGGTATTTTCTATGACTAGAGCTATTCTACCACTCGATCACATATGTTATTTAATGAAATATTTTCATCATTTTTATTATACTCTTCAACTGCAATTTTATACTTTAAAAACCAACATAGTCTCGATTTTCTTTAAAAAGGAATTAAAAACTTTTTTGATTATTTTCGCGTGAAAATAAAATCCGACGGACTGGGTTGGATTCTCCTTGATCTTTTTGGATCGATCCTGTCCGTCGTTTTTTCCCCATCGATGTTAACATTATCTTTGATAACATATGTATTTTTGACCCTTTTAACTCTTAATAGAAGACAAATATTACTCTCTCCGTCCCATTTTATGTGTCACTTTTTGGATTTCGAGATTCAAACAAGTCTATTTTTTACTATAAATTTTTCATAGATTTTTAAACATTTTGAATTATCAATTGTTGTGATTTATAGTACTTTTTACGTAGTTTACAAATATATATAAATTTCATTTCAAGAAAATTGAAGATTTCATGCGCAAATTTCTAGTTAGTTTGATCTTCGAAAAACGAAAAGTGCCATATAAATTGGGATAGTAAGAGTAGAATACTTTAGCTATGTTTTCGCTAACTTATTCGATATAATATTATTGTCTATGGTTATGTTATTAGGACAAACAATCAAGGGAGTTACTTGGTGCAACGATAGTGACATTTGCATAAAAAATTTAAAAATGTAATGAAGGACATCCAGTATGTTACTACATATCAAACATGTGTTATTGCAGACTTCCACATGATACTAAACCTTTTAGGTGCAGAACATCTGCAGATTGTGCTAGACAATTGAACTGCTTCAATGGGAGACCTTCATGTTTTGCAAGTACAAAAAACTGTTATTGTAAACTTCCAAATAGTAGACCAAATTATAATGAAACTATGTGTAATAGTGATCTTGATTGCGTTGTTTTATTGAAATGTTTGGATCCTGGTGACGCTCCTACATGTTACATGAAAACACATAAGTGTTATTGCAAAAATTCTTCACATCCACCAACTGGATCTCCGCCTGTTAACGCCAGAGAACAACCTGATTTGTGAAGGGTGATTTATTGGATTATCGATTCGATTTTGATTTATCGTACTCAAAAGTTGTTACATTTTTTAATTTTTTTTTGTGAATGATGTAATTACTTGATGATTCAGTTGCTAAACTATTTTTTTTGGTAGAAATTAGAAAGTTTTAAAATAATTTTTGTTACTATTTCTTTGTTGTCTAAGTGTATCGTATAAAATGTCTCTTTTGTTTCCTCCTCGTTATGACTTTTTACTTACTATTTAGGCAAAGATATACTAGTAACTTTTATGATTAAAAACATAATTTAGTGCAATAAAGTAAACGTTCAGATTAACTGTTTGTGATGTGAATTGAACTCCAATATTTCAACCATCATTAAGAATGATCAATATTTTTTTAATTATATCACGTAGGATGCGTGTGTTTATTATATGGTAATTTGTCAATTTTATGTCATGTAGGATATGTGTGTCTACTTATTCAATTTTATATAACTTTAAATGTCTCCCGTGGTGGTGGGGGTTTAGCGCGGACCCTTACCTTGTGCATTATTTAAGCACCAATCAAACCTTACCTCTAGTTACAAGGGGATGCAAAGAGGTGGGAGACAGGTGAATTCAGGATTTGAAGATTTCAAGTGAAATAGGGCTCTGACCCTGGTTTCGCAGGTAGTTCCTCTAGCTTGTACTAACAACACAAGGGAATTTATATATTACTCATGGGTGCACTAGGGGTGTACAAACCCAAAACCGAAAATCGAACCAAACCGCAAACCGAAAAAAAACCCGACTAGTGGTTGATTTGACTTGGTTTGGTGTTGGAAAAAAAAACCCGACTATATTTGGGTTGGTTTTGTTTTAACTAAAAAAACCAACCCGACATTACGACTTTTTACTAACTATTTAGGCGAAGATATACTGGTAACTTTTATGATTAAAAATATAATTTAGTGCAATAAAGTAAACGTTGAGTGATTTTGGATGAAACAGATTAACAGTTTGTGATGTGAATTGAACTCCAATATTTCAACCATCATTAAGAATGATCAATATTTTTTAAATTATATCACGTAGGATGCGTGTGTTTAGTATATGGTAATTTGTCAATTTTATGTCATGTAGGATATGTGTGTCTACTTATTCGATTTTATATAACTTTAAATGTCTCCCGTGGTGGTGGGGGTTTAGCGCGGACCCTTACCTTGTGCATTATTTAAGCACCTATCAAACCTTACCTCTAGTTACAAGGGGATGCAAAGAGGTGGGAGACAGGCGAATTCAGGATTTGAAGATTTCGAGTGAAATAGGGCTCTAACCCTGGTTTCGCAGGTAGTTCCTCTAGCTTGTATTAACAACACAAGGGAATTCATATTTTACTCATGGGTGCACTAGGGGTGTACAAAACCGAAACGAAAACCGAACCAAACTGCAAACCGAATCAAACCGAAAAAAAACCCGACTAGTGGTTGGTTTGACTTGGTTTGGTGTTGGAAAAAAAACCCGACTATATTTGGGTTGGTTTGTTTTAACTTAAAAAACCAACCCGACATTATATATATAATTTTAAAATTTTATTTTATACATAAAAATATTTACTTTGATATAATTTTTAAATATTTCTTATACTTTTTCATAGTTTTTATCTTTTAATATATTATTTCAAGTATGAAACTTAGAATTTTGAATGGTTCCATAAAGATTATAGTCCATAGATGTTGGTAATTATAATAAAACTTAAATCAAAATCAAATTAGTACTAATGCAAAAAGAAAAATCAATTTAACACTAAGAATGACAATAATATTGACAATTCTTTGGTTTTACATTGGTTTAGACATTAAAGTACATAATCTAATTTTAATTTCCTTTAATATTTAGTCATGTAACTAATACTTATTAAACTTATTTTAGCATGATTTAGTACTTTTAAATTATGATCATTTTCACTATGACTTGTTAATTTGCAATATTTGTTTTACATGATTTTATTATTATTATTATTATTATTATTATTATTATTTTTTGGATATTTTAGTGTCATTAATCATATCATTGTTTGTGTTGTATTCTTAAGAAACACCTTAGATAGTTGTATTTTGGTAGGACTGAAGAAATATTTGAAGTACAAGTAAATTATATGTTTGTATGAATACTTTAGTGGAAAAACTTGAAAACCTGAAAAACCCGAAAAAATTCGAAAAAATCCAAGGTTGAAAAACTCAAATTTTATTGGTTTGGTTTGGTTTGGTTTATAGATTTAAAAATCCGACACAAATGGTTTGGTTTGATATTTGAAAAACCCGAACCAACCCAACCATGTACATCTCTAGGTGCACGTGCACTCTTAATTATATCCTAATTTTTGTCAGTTTCTCAAAGTATATATATATATACACATAATTTTTTTCGAAAGTTAAAGGGTATACGTGCACCCCACATATGAATGTGGGTCCGCCTCCAGTGGGAGGGAAGCAAAAGTTCCAACTTACAGGTAGCTTAGATGGACAAAAGAGGCAACCATTTACATGAGATGGCCAAGACCTTTAGAGTTTGAGCATTCAAAGTTGGTAAGCATAAATGTCGGTTGATGTCAAGCTAAGAGACACATTTATATATTATAGGCATATGCATATTTAGATGGGTTTCAGAAACTCAGTTGAAAATTTCCAAATCATATCTCTATTTCTTTCATTTTACATGATATCAGAGCAAGACCCATCTCAATTCTCATTTTTTATGTTGGACGCTCATATTAAATTATTCACGTAACAAATGCCCACTCCTATATAGAGGAAAATATCCATTAGTTTTTTCTTTTTAATATATTATATTCATTTTTAAGATTAAAAAATTGATGAAAGCAAAGTTTATGGGAGTTCATAATGTGAGGAGTATATGAAAATGCGGTTTTAATTTGTGGTTGTTATTTCTCTATCAATAAGTTGTGGTCAATGCCTTTTCTTCCCTATATTATAAACATTTAAATTGCGAAATTAACAATACTTTAAATTTTCAATAATACGAAAAATACTAATTTGAAGAGAATGGAGAAGGCAACATTAATCCAAAAGGTTTTCTTCGTTTCCTTTTTGGTTATTTTGTTAGGTAAGTAAATCTAGCTAGCTATTCTCTATTTATTCGATTTAAGAGGGAGTTGTCGATGAAAATACAACGACAATCCCTCTAATTTTTAACAGATATTTATGTATGCGGTGTGTTTAGCTGGCCAAAAAATAATTACATAGGTGTTTGCATAGTATACCTTGGGGATATACAATTCACAAGTTCTTATTATTGAATATCATGAAGATATAGAAGATCACCATAGACACAATTAGATCTCTTAATTAGTATATATCCCCAAAAATGTTAAGAACTTATGGATATAGATAATTTTGTTTTGTGTTTCTTGTGATGAATTTTTTGAATATTAATGTTGATGCTAATTAAATATCACACTAACACAAACATGCTAAACGAACACAATAATTAATTAAATATATATACTAGAAATTTGTACTCTCAAAACATTTAACAAATTGTGTCTCTCTTTATTTAATCAACTATTTTATAATCGTAAAAAAATTGATACCTTTTCAATACCTGATTTGAAATGTTCACTAATATAAATCGTCAAACACACCTAAATATTTCATTTTATTTTTTTTTGAGTTTTGGACATGAACTATCAGATGAGTGAGTTTTCTACCTGAACTATCACCAAATGTCTATCAAATCACACCTGAACTTCAGGTAGAAAAAGTGAACAACTGATAGTTTAGGTATGACAAAACTCAGAAAACCACTCTACATGTTTTTTGAGTCTTATAACTCTTGTTATAATCATATTTAGACAAAATATCAGGATACTTCAAATATGTTTTAACTAACTTACCCAACAATATTATCGATGGTGTTGTTAGGACAAACAATCAACGGAGTTACTTGGTGCAACGACAGTGACATTTGCATAAAAAATTTAAAATGCAATGAAGGACATCCAGTATGTTACTACATATCAAACATGTGTTATTGCAGACTTCCTCATGATACTAAACCTTTTAGGTGCAGAACCACTGCAGATTGTGCTAGACAATTGAATTGTTTGAAGGGAGTACCTGCATGTTTTGCAAGTACAAAAAACTGTTACTGTAAACTTCCAAATAGTAAACCAAATTATAATGAATCTATGTGTAAAAACGATCCCGATTGCGCTGTTCTATTGAAATGTTTGAATCCTGCTCAAAATCCTACATGTTACTTGAAAACAAGTAAGTGTTATTGCAAATCTCCTTCACGTCCACCAGTTGGAGCTCCACTTGCAGTTAAGGCAAACGAACAACCTAATGATTTGTAAAGGGCGATTTCTTGGATTGTCAATTCATTTTTGATTTATCGTACCGAAGAGTCGTGGAATTATTATTTTTTTGTAAATGATGTACGTAATTTTGTTCAAGTTAAACTGTTTTTTGTTATTGTATAAGTTTCATGATAGAAGGTCATTCAATTTTGTTTAAGTGTATCATATAAAATGTCTCTTTTATTTCCTCCTTATGACTTTTCGTGATACATATCAACTTACTAGTTAGGCAAATATAAGTAACTTTTTTATTATAAAAATATTTTAGTGAATTAAGTGCAACAAAGTTAACGTTGAGTGACCATCTATGAACTGACTCAGAGTTTGTGATGTGAATTGAATCCGATTTCTCCCCATTATTAAGAATGATTAATTAAAAAGATGGTTATGCCACGTAAGAGGCGTGTATGTGGCAATTCGCGTCTCACTCTGACGTTCTACGAGTATCATGTCACGTAGGACACATGTGTCTACTAGTTCAACTTTATACAAGTTTAAGTGTCTACCCGTGCACATCCGATGTTGGAGGGCATAATTATCAGTTGAGGTCAAGTTAGCACGTTTATGTATCCTGGGTAGGATCGGGAGTTGGATCCTGTGTAGGGTTCGGAGTTGCTTTTGGTTCGTAAATTGGATTAGGGACAATAAAGTCGGATCCTAAATCATGATCAAGGTCGGGAGTTAGTTACCAGAAAGAGTCGAGTCAAGGTCAGGGTCAAGAGATATATCTCAGATCATGTTCAATATTAGTGTCGAGGTTCTGGATTATGGTTGGGAGTTTCTCGAGTTGGGGTCAGAAGTTGGGTCCTGGGTCAAGGTTGGGAATAGGGTCTAGGGTTGGGGTCGGGAGTTGGTTCAAGGGTTAAGAGTCAGGTATGCATCGGGAACTAGGTCTTGGGTCGGGTGTAAGTTAGATTTGGGTCGTGGGCCGACAATAGGGTCAGGGCCCGAGTCAAGGTAAGGAATCTAGTTTGAGTCGGGTCAAGTGTTGGCTCCTAAGTCGGGGTCGGCATTTGAGTGCTAAGGTTGAAAGAGAATTTTGAAAAATGCTTTCTATATCTTTACTTTTGTAGGAAAGTCATTTTCCTTAATTTGAAAAATAATTAAGTTCATTTGAGAAAATATTTTTTGAAACATTTAAGTTAAACATGAGAAAATTGGAAAATACTTTCTAAAAGTATTTCCCTTCATACCAAACACACCCTGTATAAAACTTAAACTTTTTTTCTCTAATTAGCTATTGAATGTCCCGCAAGAAAAGATTGTGTTACCTTAGTCTTAGATTAATGTAATTTCTTTAGTTAGCTACATTATTTATGGGAAGGACATAAAATTGTTTGATCCTGATGGATTAGAATATATCTTTTTTGCAATTTGAGCATGAAATGAAAATTTGGTGCGTGTATTTGAGCAAACTCGGTGACGTTTGAAGTTGACCCAAAATTCATTCTTAACATAATTTTGCCAAATTTCAGGTTTTTCATTCTTTCCAAAAATGGTTCTTTCTAATTCTAGCTCTTTCGATTGGTGTTACAAATATAAACTCATGCTCAAATGTATAAAACATAACTCTTTCTCAATTTGAGGTAATTACTCAATAGATCCTCTTAAAATAGATAAATACTCTAAAATATCTCTGAACCCATAAACTCATTTAGAAATCAACGTTTCACTCTTTAAATGTAAAAGTGTTATATTTGGGAATACTTAGTTCTCTTACACTCTTTTTCAATCATGAATACAACTCTCCTCATTACTCATATTTACTTTCTCAAGACCTAGTTCAAAACCATTGTTAATTACAAAAGAATCCTCCAAATGACTCAAAAGATCTCTTAAACTTTCTTCTTAAACTCACTTTAGTTTGGAATGTAAATTAAGACATATGATTAGGATACGTAGGTTCTCTAAAGGATGAATGGAGCCGTTAGGAGATAATACAAAGAAGAGAATGTAGTCACGATTCAATGAAACACGCCCTAAATGAAGCAAGAAAAGAAAAAGACCAAGAGACCCTGGCGCACTACTGGCGTGGGGCGCCAGGCCCCAACCTAGTGACCAAAGTTTGGGACGCACTGCTGGCATGGGGCGCCAAGCCTCAAACTACAGACCAAAATTTTGGGCGCCTTGGTGGCGCGCCAACCCACCCCATACCCAGAAATTCGACGATTTTTTATACTTAATCTACGGTCCTAACTCGTTTAGAATAAGGGAAATTCTCCTAAATTCTTATTGATTCTCAAACCCAACCTGAATACATAATGAATTCAACAAAATCCCTTTGGGAAACACAACTTTTACTAAAGATTTACAACACACAAGAATTAACAATCTCCATTATAAAGGAATTCAACAATTATCAAGAACTACTCAAGAAGTCTTTAGACACAACAATTCATGGATAACTAGATGTATGGTGTGAAGATGAACAAGTTCGACACTGAGAAGCCTTACATACCTAGAAACAATAATGTTCTTGGTGAAAATCGACAAATATTGAAGAATGCTTGAGAACCTAGTTTTTTTCCTCTTAGAATCTCGATCTAATTTCTTTAAGTGTTTAGGAACGTGAAAAGGTGGTTTAGCATTTGATTAGACCCTTATTTGGGTGAAGAAAAACTTGGCTAGGCTTAGAAGGACAAAAGAAAAGACCAAACTACCCTTCTAAGAACGATTGAGGTGCCTTTAGAAGAGAGGCTTCACTCGAACGGGCATAACTTTTTAATCCAAGCCGAAATGAAGCAAACTTGGTGGCGTTGGAAAGAGAACTGAAAGACCTTTAATTTGATAGGTCATAAGCCACCTAACTCTTTAAGTGCTAAAAGATATGGTTGTTTGAAGTTCACCCAAACTTAAAACTGATGGGTGAATTGTACAAACCTCTCTTTAGCTCTTTCGAAATTCGAGGTGTTACATTTTGAGTTTGGACTCTTGTTATTTTTAGTACTCTATTTTATTTTTATTTTTTAATTAATTTTTATTTGGCCTATGGCCTGACCCTACTTATATTTATCAAGCCCCACAAATCATCAAGTTTATTTAAGCCGGGCTAAAAAGCCCTTTTCTGAAATAGGCTCCAAAAATCTTAGCCCAACCCTATTAAATCACGGGTTAGACCAGGCTAGACCAGCCTAATGGTCCTAGCCCACACTAACGACTCTACTTCTCAAACAGCAAAGGCAAATTTGCTCACTTTTCAAAATAATTCAATTTATCCATTTAAAAAAAAGAAATCATTATTTGACCATATTAATGATTTTAGATTACTTGTATTGTGTAACGTTAGTATTTGATTTGACTTCTTTAATTTAGGGAAAGTACATTAAATTTCTTTTTCCAAGTTATTATTTCTCTATCAACCAAATGTCTTTGTTTCCCTATAAATACATTGCTAAGAATGGCAATTAAAATCAATAATAACAATCACATATATAATTAATTACTCTTGTGTTACCACAAAACTTGGAAAAGAAAATGGAGATGGCAACATTTCTTAAGGTTTTCTTGATCTCCGTTTTGCTTATGTTGTTTGGTAAGCAATTTTCTTATCAATTTATGTGTCTAAGATTTAAGCTATATATATCGACCAGTAAAACTAATAATTTGTTTACCTTTTCAAATATTGATTATCTGTTATAAAAAAATTTGTATATGTCACTGATTTGTTCAACAATGTAAATGTTGGTAGGACAAGGAAGTCATGCGAAACGAGGATGCACTAAGGATGCTGATTGTGATAAGATTATTAAATGCATAGATGCAGACCCCAAATGTGACTTGAAAAAACATAAGTGCTACTGTCCAGTTCCACCAAATTATGGAACAAAAAGGGTTCACAAGACTCGCCAAAACTGATTTACAATGTTTGTTATTCATATGCAAAATTGAACCATGATTTATGTATTTCCTTTTCATATATATATGGTTCAATAAATTATAAAGAACCCTTTTTCATATTGATTATGCTTGAAAATGGTTTGGTTTGATCTTTTTGACTTCTTGTTATTTGCGCCATGTATTTTATCTTCAATGAATTATGTTTAAGGATTTTAAAGAATATTAGATTTTGACGAACCCCCAAATGGTCTTAAGAGACATTATTTATAAGTGTTAAAATCAAAAGAGAGAGATAAGTAGGAATTATTTAGAAGTGTTGGAATCTTGGTGCTTGCTCTTGATAAAAGAAACTTTTTTACTAAGTTCTTAGAGTGGAAGAACTTGGGAAAACCTAGGGTGGGAGGCTTCTCTTTGTATCTTGATTTTTTGGCATGAAAGTTTTAGGGTTCTTCATGGAGAAAAGGAACCCTAGACGTGAGTCTTAAGAGAATTTTCTAAATACTTGAATGTTTTGATTCATGAAAACTAGGTAGTTGAATGATATACTCAGTTAAAACACTCAAAAACGACTTAGAATAGGGTCTAAAACGACATAGGGGAAAGACCAAAATGACTCCAACTTTTAAAACTGAAAAGGTGCCTAAAACGGGCGGTTTCACAGACCGTTTAAGGCTTTAAGGACCGTGAAACTCTTTACGAACCGTCTAGCCGGTCGAGAAGCTTCACCTTCCCGACAGTGCTTCACCTTCCCGACAGTGCTTCACTAAAACGGGCATAACGTTTTACTCCGGGCTCGAAATGAGGCAAACTTGGTGATGCTGCAAAGAGGACTCAAAGACCTTTAATTTGATAGGTCATGACCACCTAATTCATTATGTGCGGAGAGATATGATCATTTGAAGTTGAGACAAAACTTAAAAACAGATAGGTGACTTGTATGGACCCCTAAACAGACCGTACAGGTCACCACAGGCCGTCTAGGGTCCCGTCTAGGTGACTTCTGTCTACGAAACCTTGGATGGTCATTCACAATGCCCAAGACGGGTCGTGAACCCCTAAATGGACCGTCTAGGGTGCCGTGAAGGGTCCATTTTGGTTTCGTGGACTTGCTCGTTTCCCCTCTATATCCCTTTTTAAAGTCCGAGATGTTATACGAATGA